TGTGTGCGAGTGTGAGAGCAAAGAGAAGAAGAAAGGTGAGGAGAGAGAAACAAAGAGTTGAAACTGAAAAGTGATAAATATTAAAGTACAGGAGAGAGAATGACGTGTTTGAACTTGGAGAAATATTAAAAATACAGGATAGAAAGAGTGTTTAAGGGCCTGTTCGGTAAGGCTTAAAATCCAATTAAAATTGAAAATATGGCCGTTATTGGGTCCCACTCGTCTAATAAAAATCAACAATAACGGCTAGTTTTTCAATTTTAATCCAATTTTAATCTCTACCGAACACGCCTTAAAATTCTATTTTGGGTGTTTAAATTCAACAATTTGGTACTGAAATAGTGTTGATTTATTTTGAATAATTTACTTTGTAACACGTGTTTTATGCATGATTATTTTTTAAATGTTGATTTTACTTTTGCAAGAATATTCTTATAGTTTATGAAGCTAACTTATTTATTTTTGTCACATAAATTAGTCTTTGATCAATGATTGTTTATTACTTCAAATTCATATTTCATTATGCATGATTTACAATTTGTTAAGTTTTGACATAGAAATTGATCTTTTAGTCACCTAAATTACATAAGGTTAATTTAGTTAGTATTGTAAAATCTCAAAATTTTATTATTCAATAAATAGTTAATAATACATTTAATAAGAATTGACCTGCCGGTCCAATCACCGGGTCACCGATCGAACCACTGACCCGCTACATTGTCCGAGTCAGTGTCCGGGCCGGGTCTGACAACTGTGCCACAGATAGTGGGACTACATGGTTTTTTAGGTTCATCCTAGGGCCAAATAAATTTTAACTGAATCGACGGTCTAGATTTTATTTTTATTTTTTGTTTTATTTTTATCTATAAACTTAAATGTAGACATATAATTAGGGTTGGGCAAAATGTCCGAACAGAACCGAAACCGGAACCTAACCAAACCGAATCGAGCGGGTTTTTTAAAATGAAATACTTGAACGGGTATTCAAATCGAGAATCGAATGGTTTGATTCGGTTCTCGGTTCTCGACCAAGAACCGAAGAACCAAATAAGAACCGAATTTTTTTTTTATATTGGATAAATCAATTTCTTTTATTTTTTCTAAACAAATTAATAATTTTTTTCTTATTAAATCTTATTAGTTGAACAATTTAGAGTTTATTTATGTTTGTTAGTTGTGTTTTTTTCAATTTTTCTTGTATAGTTTCTTAATAGTTAGTATGAAAAGTCAACCAACTGATGATTACATTAAATAGTTGGTAAGTATTATCAATACTTTAAAATATTTTATCTTTGTGACTTCTAATTTATATTTCACTTTTATGTAGACTTGAAGGTTTGAAGTAAATGAATTATTGATATGAATATCAAAGTTTTATTAGTAATATTTACTTTTTGATATTTGTGTTTGACAACTTATTATTTATATGTTATTAAATTAGATTACGTTAATTTGTAAAAGTTAAGATTGAATTTGGTATTTGTATATACTTTTTGTTCTTAATATTAATATCTACTTTCGGGTGTATTTATGTAGTATTATTTTAAATGTTAAAAAATTTAATTATAGTACGGAACCGAATCAAACCGAACCGCGCCCACCCCTACCTATAATCTCACTTTTCCTATCATTGACGTGCTTCTATGAAAAATCAAAGGTAAAGCCTTTTGTCCTCTTAATTTAGAACAAATTCCATCATATTAGGATCAAAACGACCTTTTATTTGATCGAAAATTGAACTTTTCTTTGTTAATGTTTGTAATTCAAGATCTGTTTTTGTAATTACGGTAACATTCTTGATTGGTTAAAAATGATTGTAGGTTCAACTCAAGTATTAATGTTGAATAAAAAGTTGATCGTTCTCAATCTTTTCATCTAACTTTCGAAATTAATTATGTATTAATTCACGAATATTTTTTACTGTGTCTTCCATCATATCCCCGAATGAATTAATCGAGACCAACATCATTAATCCTGAAGACCTCAACCTTATTCATAACCTTAACAAAAGTATAATTTCCCAGGAGAAATAGAATTAATCAAGTATAAACAAATCAAGAAAAAAAAACATAATTTTGGCAGACATAATGTCCAAAGACAGCTCTAAGAATACAAAATTGGAAGGAGGCTCAATATATTTAAATAAAATTGTCTATAAATTAATTTATTTTAAATAATAAGATCCTTAGAATGAGATAAAATAAGCCAATATTTAAATAAATGTTGCATTAGGTCAAGAAAATCTCAAGCAGGATCTCTGCACTTGTAAAAGGGTCATAAAGATGCATATGAAATATTCCAAATTTATTTTGGCGCACCCTCCTCATCTCTGACTGGCCATCACCTAGTATTATTACACTTTTATCATCCTGTCTCATTATTTGAGTCTACAGTTAGAGTATGTTTGGCTAATCTTAAAAACGTTCGCTTATAAATAAGTTACTTATTTTGGATAGTAGGGTAAGAGTTATTTTTTTTAAGTAGTAACTATTTTTTTTTTTGCTTAGAAGTGAAAAAAATAAAATTATATCTAGACAAGCTTAGAAATAAAAAGATACTTAAATGTAATGTAAATTTTACGGGTTTTATGAACTTAGCCAAACGTACTCTTAATCTCCATAATTTCATTTCATAATGAGAAGTTGAACTATTTTAAGGATGGAGCATTGTCTGGACACTAAGAGACAGTGCGGTCTTGTCCACATTATAGCAAAGACTTTTTCCAAGAGAACTGCACACAAAGAGCTCTTAAAAATAACCCCACATAAACACTATTTGTTAATTATAATGTGTATTATGTGTCTTTATTACAAAAAGGTGGGGAGGCACTTGAAATTTTGAGTGTGCATTGATGAGTAGAAATAGAGAAGAATATCAGTACTACAGAAATGATTTAATGTCCAAGGTGGACATGGTTTATAATGTCCACCGTGGACATGGGCATTAGATCAAAACTGATTAGCGCTATTGCAGTTCAAAAATTAGTAGTTCTAAACTAGGCTTGTCTTAAATGGGAGATAAAAACACGAATCTAGTACCCAAATCATTTGCTTGATAGTACAACGAAGATGAGTTGAACTCCGTTCTCAATAAATTTAAGGTTGGAACTTGAATGATTTTTTTTAATCTTCTAGAAGTATTAGAGGGTCTAAAGTAACTAGATTCCAAACAACTAAAAGAGATCGTGTTACTTTTGAGATATCAATCCATCTTAAACTTGTTATAGCGATATGGATCCACTCTATTGAACGAGGGTCTATTTAAACCTATTGAAAGCAAGTCCAAATCATGGAGTCCATCCTTTAATTTATCTTCACTTCATGCCACATTTGCTCGCTACCAATGTATAAAAAAGGATCATTGCAGAGCTTTAATATCAATAATGAATGGAAAATAGGCCACAAGATTGCTGGTTCTATTTAAGACATTTTTCTTTGACTCTGCAGTGAAAAAATTAAAGTATATAAAGGCAACATTGGGGAGGGGGAGCTCCATGAGAAAACATATATGTAAAGATGCCCAAGAAAAACTTAAGAGCTCATTTCTTGACATTATTTGTAAATTAAAAAAAAATACGATTTTGAACACTGAAATTTTAACTTCCATTTTGGTTGTTTCTCACTACATAGACAGCTACAAAGAGAGAGAGAGAGAGAGTAAATGAAGGAGCAGGAATAAAATCCCTTTTGAGATTCAATTCCCTTTGTTTGGAAAACCTCACTTTTTGTTGGACTTCTATCAAATGCTCTTGCCTTCAGAAAATCTGTTAAGGATTCAAGGAAAAAATAGAAGTTTAAGAATAATTCATATTTGGAGGTAAAAAGTTGAGCCCTTTTCATCAAGTATGAAATAAGTACTCAACTGATTTTGCTGCTGTTGAGTTCCATATAGTGAAGACTGGAACAGATCGCCCCTGCAAAAACTGATTGGTGATTAGCAAATGTTTTTAACTATGATTCATATACCAAAAAAAAAAAAAGATATATTTTTGAAGTATAAATAGTACCTCAAACTGAGTTGTGGAGTAGCCTTGTGAGTGTTCCAATACGTTCTCCACAGAAGCTTGGCCATTTGGAAGTGAGAAATTCTTCTGTACAAGAATCAAGATTAGTCATATCAGTTAGGATGTTTCCTTTGTTATTCAGACAGAAAAGTCCGAACAATATCTAATGTACTTACCCCGGAGAAGTCGAAGATAGGCGACCTAGCAGTATCATCGAGTAAAGGAGTTTGTTCTTGAACCTTTCTATGTGGATTTTCCTTAACTTTCTTCATATTAGACCTATTAATCTTGGACAATGTGGCATGAATCGGTGCACGAAAAAACTCATCTTCTTCGTGCAAATGTGGAGGTCCAGAAGACGCATCAGAAACCATAGACAAGTCATCGTTCTCCACATCGTCGTCTTCAACTTTTACCCTCTTGGCAACACTATACCGGGAGAAAGAAGAAGAAGAGTGTTCTAAGTATAAAGTCCATCCAGATTCACATCCACTTCTGCATTCTGAATTGGCAAACACATAATTCATTTTCTTTACTATCTAGAAAAGAGAAAAATGTTTTTTTTTTTGGTTTGTCAAAGTGTTCACTTAGTTCTGAGGATAAAAGGGGGTGGAATGGGGATAAGACAGAAAGAGAATCAGGCTGAAATCCTAGGAGTGTTTTGTCCTGATGTACTGCGCTCAGCTCTCTGTGTGAATGAATCAAATGGTGGTTGGTTTTACATCAAATGGTATCGAGCAATACGTGATTCTTGAATTCCCAACAATTGGTATTAGAGATTTTGGGCATAATTAACACAACAAGTGGTATCAAAGTGATTCTGGTATCTTATTTGTTTTACAATAATTACAATTTAATCGTATAATGACGAGAAGTATGTTTTGGAACTTATATTGTCGTAGTATTTTCTTTTATTCGTGTATTGGAGTTAAAGTTCGTCCTACTTCGTCCCCTTATTTGTTTAGTTAACTAATTCACGCTCACTATCAAAACTCATATTAATTAGGTGTTGAATTTTGCGTATTTATACATGTATGTATGTCTTCCATGGCAACATATCGACATTCCCAATAAGGTCAATTGGTGGAAGCTCAAATGTGATTTTTTTTTTTTAAAAAAAAAAGATAAATAAAAAAATTTACAAGAGTATATAGGCATTGATACATGTATCCCTCTTCTATTAAAAGAAGGAATCCCCCATTTACTATTCATTCAGGACGTATTTTCTCTTCCAATTTTATCTCTCAATAGTCAATAATTGCGGCTTC